GGCGCCTGGGTGGCGCAGTCGGTTAAGCGTCCGACTTCAGCCAGGTCACGATCTCGCGGTCCGTGAGTTCGAGCCCCGCGTCAGGCTCTGGGCTGATGGCTCAGAGCCTGGAGCCTGTTTCCGGTTCTGTGTCTCCCTCTCTCTCTGCCCCTCCCCCATTCATGCTCTGTCTCCCTCTGTCCCAAAAAATAAATAAACGTTGAAAAAAAAAAATTAAAAAAAAAAAAAAGAATAGGATGCTCAACCGACTGAGCCATCCAGTCGCCCCTTGTGGATGCTTTTGATATACAAAAACTTTAAATTTTTAAGAAGTTGGATGTGTCTGTCTTTACTTTATGGTGATGCCTTTGGTGTTATTCCTAAAGACACTTTTATCCCCAAAATTAGACAACTGTTGATTTATAATTTTCTGACAATTTTATAATGTTAAAATTTTAATCTAAACTTAAAATAAAATTAGGATTTTTATTCTATCTGAATTACTTTTCAAAAATGGTAGCAAATTATATCAATACCATTTAGTGATATTCTGTCCTCCTCCCCTGATTTAAAATGCCATGTTTATTAAATATTAAAATATTATAGACAAGGGTCAGTTCTGGTCCTTTTATCCTATTTTCCAGCCATGGGAACAACTGAACACTTTCGTTAGCTGTAACATTTTTTCTGTTTTGTAGCCTATGAATTCTGACTTCCCTTCTTCCCTCTCTCTCTCTCTGACCCTCTTTCTTTTTCTCTTTCTTTCTCTTTTCCTCAATGATGTGTTGAAATCTGATTATGTTTTCCAAGGTGGCCACCTTTCTCCATCATATCATCTTGATATTTGGATTTGGTGAGAATATTCTTTTTTCCCCTCTTTCCTCCCAATTTTATTGAGGAGTGATTGATAAATATAATTGTATATATTTTAAATGTACAATGTGATGGTTTGATAGAAACATATATATTGTGGAACAATCACCAAGATCAAGATAATTAATACATACATCGCCTAGGAGAATATTTTTTATTTTAATATTGAAGTCATTTTACTTGGTGAGAGTAATGCAAAACAGGAATATTAAAGCTTTTGGGAAGCTAGCCCATTACTATCCAATAATTCAGTGGTCTTGATTTTACCAATGAAAGAAAATGAGGCACTTTTTCAAATCACAGAGGTCTAATTTGTAAATTGCCTTTCCCAGCCTATAAGTCTACAGGTGGCCCCCAAAGAATTATTAACCATTCATGGTAGTTCTTAGTAGTAATTGACTTATTTACACAAAGAATTGGTTCCCAAAATTGCTTTAACCAGACTGAAAGACTAAATCTACTTGACTTCAAATGAAGAAGACAGGTGAAAAGGGGGCATTAATCTTACTCCTGGGAAAGTTATGTTAAAATGATTTCTGTCTTCCTTCTCAAAGTAGCCATGTGTCATTGATTTTAGCCAGGAGGGAGGCATGTAAATAAACACCAAGAGAAAACCCAAACAGAATACCTTCTGAACTCAATTTTGTGGTAGGATTGAGGGTTGGAAGTAAAATTATGTGGACCCTAAGTGAACACAGCAATAGCAGCTTACAAGAGGGAGTTAGAACAATGGTCTCCATAGCAATCTCTGCCCTCAGTGTGAAGTCTCCCTACGTTTCTTTCGTCTTTGGGGAGGTTTCAGTCTGGTTTGTGCAAGGAGAATTCTTATATAGGATGTATATGGATCAGTTGAAGTAATGGACAAGAACACTTTGCAAAGGCTCAATTGCTTTACACACTTAAGGTGTTATTATTGTGCTTCTGAAAGTATAAGGAAGAATGAAAAAAGGTGATTATCTGCTAAAATTGTATGTTGATGGTGGGATTTTTTTTTAAATATGAAATTTATTGTCAAATTGGTTTCCATACAACACCCAGTGCTCATCCCAAAAGGTGCCCTCCTCAATACCCATCACGCACCCTCCCCTCCCTCCCACCCCCCATCAACCCTCAGTTTGTTCTCAGTTTTTAAGAGTCTCTTATGTTTTGGCTTCCTCCCTCTCTAACCTCTTTTTTTTTTCTTCCCCTCCCCCATGGACTTCTGTTAAGTTTCTCAGGATCCACATAAGAGTGAAAACATATAGTATCTGTCTTTCTCTGTATGACTTATTTCACTTAGCATAACACTCTCCAGTTTCATCCACATTGCTACAAAGGGCCATATTTCATTCTTTCTCATTGCCATGTAGTATTCCATTGTGTATATAAACCACAATTTCTTTATCCATTCATCAGTTGATGGACATTTAGGCTCTTTCCATAATTTGGCTATTGTTGAAAGTGCTGCTATAAACATTGGGGTACAAGTGCCCCTGTGCAACAGCACTTCTGTATCCCTTGGGTAAATTCCTAGCAGTGCTATTGCTGGGTCATAGGGTAGGTCTATTTTTAATTTTGGGGGGAACCTCCACACTGTTTTCCAGAGCGGCTGCCCCAGTTTGCATTCCCACCAACAGTGCAAAAGGGTTCCAGTTTCTCCACATCCTCACCAGCATCTATAGTCTCCTGATTTGTTCATTTTAGCCACTCTGACTGGCGTGAGGTGATATCTGAGTGTGGTTTTGATTTGTATTTCCCTGATGAGGAGCGACGGTGAGCATCTTTTCATGTGCTTGTTGCCCATCTGGATGTCTTCTTTAGAGAAGTGTCTATTCATGTTTTCTGCCCATTTCTTCACTGGATTGTTTTTCGGGTGTGGAGTTTGGTGAGCTCTTTATAGATTTTGAATACTAGTCCTTTGTCTGATATGTCATTTGCAAATGTGGGATATTTTTTTAATGTTTTTATTTATTTTTGAGACAGAGAGAGACAGAGCATGAGCAGGGGAGGGGCAGAGAGAGAGCAAGACACAGAATCCGAAGCAGGCTCCAGGCTCTGAGCTGTCAACACAGAGCCCAGCACGGGGCTCAAACTCACGGACTGTGAGATGATGACCTGAGCTGAAGTCGGACGCTTAACCGACTGAGCCACCCAGGTGCCCCAATAGTGGGAGTTTTTTAAAGAGTGTTCATTTCTCTTCAAATAACTACTATCAACAGTTTGGGACAAATTTTTTCCAGTCACAGTTTGTGAAACAAAACCTCTCACTTACAAGGATATAATGAGGAGTTTCTTTCCCCCAGTTCTTTGGGTCTGGCTCAAGGACTGGGTAAGCAGCTGTTTTGCAAAAGCTGGCCTCTCTTCTTTCCCCCCTTCCCAGTCTCTGCCCAATTGGCCAGCAAGTTAATAAGTCTTAATGCCATCCAGTCTTTTTGCCAGGAATTAATAAACTACAGTCTCATAAAAAAAATTGTTTAGATGTTTATGGTATGTGGATTCACACTTCAAGAACCCCATACTTTGTTTTACAAGTAGGACATTTTCGGCACTTCCTGCTTCCCCCTCTGATCTTGTGGCCTTGCAGTGCCATGGCCTTGTGGTCTTCTTCTTTGTACTCTGGTGTCATCTGTTAAGGACACTGAAGGTCAACCTCTAATCTCACTTTCTAGTAAAAAATGGTCTGTGAGGCCAAGACGAATCTCTAAATAGCTCAATGCCGTGGAATCAGATGGAATGCTGACATGAGAGTCCTTGGAGGAGGAAGAGGATAGCACATGGGTTGACTTGGTTGACTTCAGGTTAAAATAATTGGCGTGTCCTCTTTCTGCTCTTTGTAAGGTATGGCATTTTCAAAACCACTTGGTACCGTGAGGCCTAATCTCCGCCATTTCACAAACTAGCCAGGTGGGCAATGCTAAAATAGGTATCTTCGGCCTCCTTTGTTCATAATGGGAATAGCAGTGTGTGTTGCTCCCATGTCTGTGTCATTCTAAAAGCCAATATACTAATCAATGTGATAGGGCCATATGAAGTGTAAAACCCTCTGTATTCTTTTACCAGTGATACATTTTGACCCTATGCACTGTGGGGGCGGTGGGGGAGGCGATGGGCAAAGAAAGATGAGTGTCTTGAAAATCAGAGGTCAAAGCTATAGGTTTACTTTTTTTTTAATAGATAATTTATTGTCAGATTGGTTTCCATACGACACCCAGTGCTCATCCCAACAGGTGCCCTCCTCAATGCCCATCACCCACTTTCCCCTCTCCCCTACCCCCCATCAACTTTTAAAAATTCCAGTTCCAGTGTGTCTGCCAAAAAAAAAAATGTCTACAGTGGAAAACCAAGGAGAACCACTCATCTCCCAGTTTTTAAGGTCATATGTGTGACCAAATGCTAGGAGATTGTATTCACAGTTACCTTATATACAAAATATTCCTTTTGTTGCTGCTTCTCCCTTCCGATAACTTCAGATACCCCCAAGCCCCAGGCTACAGATTCTCAAATTCCCTAGAATTGTGTTGGAGTTGACAGAATTCACCCCAAGCAGATTGTGTGGACCATGAGAGACAGACAGACAGACAGACAGAGAAGCAAGAGTGCCTGTGGTGGGGGGCATGTATGTCTCTGAGGTGGTGGTGGGAACATGGTAGGAGTTACTTGAAAGTGTCCGAAGATGTCTAGGAAAAATGGCTTTGGGAAGGCACAGGCAGAGCTTTTGGAAGGTTCTGCAGATGTCTCCCCACATCCATGAAGTTGGATGTTAGCACTCCTAGCTGACTACAGGCCTGGCTACTGACCCCAGTGGGGGACAAAATAGGGGTCTGCTGATAAGTGCTTAACAATTGGTTTGGCAGGGAAAGGAGTAATAAATAAAGCCCTGATTTGTAGTGTTTGCTGGATTCTCTGGTGTAAATACTGCCCACCATGGCTGAGTTCCAGCTACCAGTGTGACGTCATTGAAATGGGGTTGGGAGGAAATGTGCAGTAACACCCCATATGCAGTATTCCCACATAGAGATCCAGTAGACATAAATAGCTTCAAGTGCATAGATAAGAGTAGGCATAATGAAATATTTAGGAAGTGATGAGGTTTAAGTATTTATTACCTTTGTTTTTAATATAATTCATCTAACTGTATGCCTATATAATTTAATTTTCAATAATGGCAGTGTTTTAACAACCATCTGGCAAGATTCCTGAAATTTTGACACTCACCTCTCATGAGCCCAGTACAAGCTGGTTTTGGAATTTGGGTCCAAAGGAGAAGAACAAAATGCTCAGTGTATTAGAGGAATATCCGAACTCTGAGGAGAACACAAGACTCCTGGTTCCTACTCTATCCCCTACTCTGGCAGAAGAAGTGCCCTAAATGGGTCTGAGAAAAACAAGTGGACTTCTTTAACCATCACAATAACAAAAAGTAAGACAAAAAAACCCTCCAAAATCTTTACCCTGCTGGCATAGAATTTTCATCTCACCTCATGGTTAACCCATATCCATCTAGATAGTAGGTCTGGGAGGGAAGGTTTATAGGAAGGGTGAGTTTTGAGATGGAAGGAAGAGGAGAGCTTGGGTTATGTCAAAACAGACAGAGACTGTCATAGAAGGTTCTAGAAGCCAGGTATGGTATTTGGATGCTGGATGCTTAAATTGCCGGAACTGGCATAAATTTTGAACAACATTTCCTCACGAGATTCTTATGGTAAAGAGAAAAAACCTGTGGTCTCAGAAACACATCTTATAAAATAGGTCTCCCAGAATTCAGGCCACAGTGCTGTCCCCAGCAGCCATAATGAGACACAAAATGAGAAGTGCCTGAGGCCTAGGTGCTACCAAATTGTGCCCTGCTGAGTACACATGGAGAGGAAAATGACCAAATGCCATTTCAGTACATTATCAATCCAATCTACTTCTTGAAAGGCAGCAGAGTACAAATCTAGTTCTAAAAATATCATTGTAATCTGTGGCTTGGAATAATCACACCTATCAAAGGCCAGGTTAAAATGTGTGTGTGTGTGTGTGTGTGTGTGTGTGTGTGTGTGTGTGTGTGTGTGTGTCTGCACGCACATGCTCGTATATGCAGGCTAGAGCGAGGGAATGAATACAAGTGCATATATGCGACAACAATTTTCTTTCTCTTTCCAGGTGTTCTTTCTAGGCAGCAGATAAAACACGGGAGAGTGGGGCAGTTGGGAGAAGGGAGGGAACACTACTGAGTGCTCCTCAGGACCCAAGCACTGTGTGCAGCGCCTTCCGCTGTTTCCCTCACACAGTGCTTGAGAACCTCTGAAGTAGGCAGTCTGACAGCCAAGAAGTGCTAGAACTGTGTTTTAAATTGATCTGCTGGAAACCAAAGACCCTATGCTGTGCTGATGCCATGCCTGTCCTTCACAGATTAGAACACAGAAGTCTGGAATTGGGTCATCCTCACCTCACGACACCCAACACAAGAACGGTTCCCAGCACAGAAGAGAGTCCACAAATGCTTGTTGAATACAGTAATTTCAGAACAATGAGTTAACATCTGAGTGTTTGTCTTGCAGCGTGTCAGTTGGGAAGAAACTCCACAACTACCCCAGGTCTAGTGATACTCCTTGAGTCGACTCAGAAGCAGATAATGGGAGACACCAATCCTTGTATTGTATTAACAGCTACTGGTTTACTCATAAGTGGCACTGCTTGTCAGCACTCTTTGGCACGCTGTGAAGTCAGGTGACTTTTGATGATAAGGGTGTGTTAGACTATGTACCAGACCATATCTAATTTTGCCTTTGGGGTACAGGGATGCTTCTCACTCTGAGAAAGACCTAGAGGAATATGTAAATAGCTGCATTTACAAAGATAGGACTTGGTGGTGGGGGGTGGAGGGAGTAATTTTGTGCTACAAAATTATTTACCAGGGGGTTCCTTTAGACCATCATATTCCAGAGGGTATTTAAAATATGAATTAATATGGGGCGCCTTGGTGGCTCAATTGGATAAAGTGATCAACTCTTGATTTTGGCTCAGGTCATGATCTCATGGTTCGCGGGATCAAGCTCCGCACTGGGCTCTGCGCTGACGCTGTGGAGCCTGCTTGGGATTCTCTCTCTCCCTCTCTTCTACCCCTCCCCCACCCCCATCTCTCTCAAAATAAATAAATACACTTAAAAAAATATGAATCAATATGACTCAATATTCCCCAGGCTGGAGCCACCATCTAGGCCAGCCCAGTCCCTGTGCAAAGGAGCGCTCAGCTCTCTCTCCCTTTGTCCTCCTTTCTCTTTAGGTAGAGAAATGTCCCTTCGACTAATCTCAGGAAGCCTGGTGAAGGGACAAGCTGGCTGCCCCCAAGAGGGGCAGTTTGAGTGCAAGAATATAGACTTGAGTGCAAGAATATAGGGGAAACAGAGGGGACTTGTGGAGGGATTTGTGGCATCTGCTAAGAATGGGGCTGCATACCCAGAGGACGCCCAGCACCAGGAAGGAGACCGACCCTTGGGACTGTTTGCCTGGGGCTCCTGTGGGATTTTGAGGGAGACAGCAACAGAGTCCTCACAACATCAGAGCCCCCACCTGTTTACACTAGCCGGTTTCTACCACCCAAGGGGGTAAATTGAGCTGCATATTTGATGATGAGGAAGCGAAGTGGAATGTGAGAATCCTCATTACTGACGTCAAGCTTGCCTTTCATTTTATTTATACCCATGACATTGTGACACAGGATCTAATTTTCCATTGTATTTTTTCCTCCGTTAGGGCCCGAGTGATGACAAATGATTTTGTGCATGAGCCTGGAAAACAACATTTTAAATTCAAAGCTAGGGACCCTGCAGGATTCGGTGTCTATTTCTAGCTTACCACCCGCCTGCCCCTCCCTCGACCCTCTGTACTGACCATCGAAATGTGCAAAAGGCACCGTACTCCTACAGGGCAGGACTGCCTGAGAAGTCAGAGCTCAAGGCATCCAGGTGCCCACTCCTCTCTGGTGACAGGCTGTTCCTTCATGGCATGGGCGCTGGCAGGAGGCCAGGGAGCAGTGGGGCTGCAAGGCAGCCTTGGCTCAGAGCCCTGGCTGCTGTCTGGGCATGAAACTGGGCTCTGGCACCAGGAGCATGGTTCTAGCTTTCTGACCCAGAACTGCCTGTGCAGCAACTGCCCCGCCTCTCAAGCCCTGGTGGGGCCCGTGCCTTCTGCCCCTCTGGCAGGACAGGTTTAGGAGCAGAGATTGATCTGGAAGGAATGGCAGGAGCAATTAGAGGGTGCTGTGGCAAAATTCAGTAATGTCTCCATGCACAGAAACAGCCTTTGAGGGTGTGCCTAAGACGGAGGAAAGAATGGATGTGTGTCCACCAAGTGGACAGAGTGAACTTTACCCCAGTTGCTTGGTCTGCTGTGGAGTGGACTAGGGGCCTTGGCCCTATCAAAGGTCTCCCTCCATGACCTCCCAGGGCCTCAAATCCAGACACAGTATCTCTAATGTGGGGTCCTCTTCCTACCCTGAAATGAAATGAAAGCTCCACCTGGGTCCCAGCAAATCTGGGCCTCTGGTGGGGCCTCCTGTCGCAAGGTTTTCAACCATGTTTTTCAGCCTCTGACCCCAGAGTAATCTCAACTTCCTTGTACTCAGTTCAGAAGATGTTTGCTATTCGGGATTCTGATGCAGAGGCTTGATAAGAGAGGCCTCAGGCCTTCTGAGTTAGTAAACCAACAGAGTCCAAGGATTTGAAAACTGAGAAGCCTAAGGACAGCCACGCCCTGAGAGGTGGCACAGTGCCAGCTCCTGTCACCTGAAATCTTCCAGGATATTTAGAAATGGGTGTTTGCGTGATTTTACTACATTTACTTCGGATGTCTTGTTCGATTTGTTTTTGAAACAAGGGTTTCCCATAGCACCAACAAAATCGGATCTGTGTTTTATTGAATCTACTGGAGTTCCTATGCTTGACTTGGTTTTGCTTTCTAGCTCTGTGTCAATTTTCTCAGTCAATTTAGGTAAAACTGGCACAGAATAAGCTGTTGTGTAGAAATACAGTGTGGGAAAACGAGAACATCTTCTAAGCTGCCCTGATATCTCACCCCTAACTGGCCTACAGGTGTGAGAGCTGCTTGGGGAGGAAGGGGCTGTCTTCATGTGCAGCAGCTGGGGGGCCAGGCCTTTACAAATCCTTTTGTAACAGCCCAGCTTAGACCAATGTTGACAGCCTGTGTATGTGTTTTCAGCTAGTCTCACATGCTTCCCATGGGTGATTGTGTCAAGTGCTTCCTACTGGATGCTAGGGGTGGAGGTGAGGGCTAAGGGCAAAGGAGGAGTGAATTAGAGCCATTTCCATCACCCAGAAAGTACACAAGTAACACAAGGCTATGGGAAAGAAAAGTTTGGTAGTAAGGAAACACTAAGTGGACTCCACAGGCTCAGGGTATAACTGGACAAGCTCTAGGTTTCATACTGGGATGCTGGTGTCACTTAGTAATCCCTTTCCCAAGGTTCATTGGAAGGTGGTTTGGGACAGGTGCATGAAAGGTGTTGCCAGATAGTCCAGGGTGCAAATGCTTCCTTATTAGCTCTGTGATCTTGGGAAGGTACTTAAACCTTCTAGGCTTCAGTTCCCACGTCTGTAGAAGGGAGGTACTGAGCCTGTCACATAGGGTTAATGTGGGAGGTGAATGAGATTAGGAAAACAAACCATGTCTGTAGCACTGAGCACATAGTAGGGATTCCCTTCTTGGACTGGGGATCAGAGAACCCCACAGAAGTCCTGCTTTTAAGTCTTAGCCCAGGTGGGTGCTTCACTTCTCTGAATTTTCTCTGTGACAGATGCAGAAGTTGGAAATCTGTATGCTGACTGAGGAGATATGATTGTGCTGATTAAGATGTGCAGTGAAGAGAGAAGTGAACCCCATGGCTCAGCGACACAGTGTGGACAGAGGAATTGTCTTCATGAACAAGTGTTGGAAGAGAAGACCTGAGGAACCCAGAAACATGGCCGGCCTGATCCTCGCCATGCTGTCCAAGATAGAGCTGGCTTAGGTGGGGTGCCTCTGCCAGGACTGTTTCTGCCTTAATCCTGCCTTGAAGGCTCAGGTGAACCTGATTTTGTCTTGGGGTTCAGGGAGGGAACATCAAGATATGGTAGAGGATACATAGCACACTTTACCCTGAGCCAGAATCCCCGGGACAAGACCCTAGCCCCTTCTCCTGACTCCTAACCCCCAGCTGCCAGCTACCCACAATCCTCTGGGTGTCTTCCTGTGGAAGGTGAAGACTCAGCTAGGAAAAGAATTGAGCGATACTGTTGTCAAGGGGGATTTCACAGGGGTGTTCCATTGGCCACTGGGAGAAAAACGTGTATTAAAATTTTTTTCTGAGGAAATTGAAATCCAAACATCTGCCTAACCAAGCCTAGATGGAAAGTGAATCTTGACTCCATATTAAACACATCAGTCCTGAAAGAGAAGGATAAGTCCTTACGTTAATAGGAGCAGTGAGGCTTCTCTGCAGGTTTTAGAGTAGTTCTGAGTAAAAAACAAGAGTGGTCAGAATCCATTAAGAATCTGAAAATATAGTATAGCTGAGAACTCTGCTCTCCTCCTTTACTAAATTATTTATCTGGGCTACTGATAATTAATTTATCGAATTCCCTAGTTTCCCCACCCTCTCATTTATACATGTGGTTTCTCAGCAATGGACAGGGAAGGGAGTCTGAGACACAGGGAGTCATGGGTGGTCTATACTCTGGATGGCGACTAATTGAGACTTGGCTGTCTTTCATGATATGCCTTTTATGGATGGAGGCAAAAGAAGTACTCAGTGATCTCAAGGAATACTCCAGGGTCTCCCAGCCAGTTTGGCTAGGAAAAACTGACCAATAAGTAAACATTGACTGAGTACCTACTCTGTGGCAGGCACAGTGTAAGGCTTTGGGTATACATGGTCCCTGCCTTCACAGAACTCAGTCTGGCGAGGAAGGTAGATTTTTAAACAAATAAACACACCAACTTGCATAATTTGCAGATTGTGATGAATGAGGAACTACTATGAGACAGTTAACAGTGGGGATATGATACAGATAGGGGAGTTGGGGTCAAGAAAGTTCTCTCTGACGAGGTGACAGATAAAGCCTAGAACACTGCTTCTCAAATTGCAATGTGCATCAGAATCACCTGGAGAGTTTGTTAAAAAAATAAAAAAGGTTCTCTGGGTACCCTCCCCACCAGAGTTTCTGATTCAGTAGGTCTGATGTGGGTCCCAAAACTCTGTGTTTCTAATAAATTACTGGATGATACTGAGATTGCTGGTTTGGAGGTCACACTTTGAGAACCATGAGGCTGGAGGATTGGTAGGAACTAGCCAGGTAAAGAGAGTGGAGGGAACACCAGTACAACAGAGGGGGCAGCATGTACAAATGCCCCAGTGTGGAAGAGATCTTGGGGGCTTCAGGTAATGGAAAGTGTGTCTACAAGGCAGTGAATTGGTGAACCTGTAGTGATGAGGTAATGTTAGAGGTGTACCTGATGAGGTAATGTTAGAGAGGAAATTAGTTAGAAATTTCCTATCCTGATACTCACTCCAACAGAAACACTCCAGGGGTACTTTGTCTAAGATTAATGGTTCCATTGACCCTTGGAGATGTCCTACTGCAACATGGGGCTAATGGAATAGTGCTGACCCTGAGACAGTGTGAAGATTCAAAATGGTGAGGTATGCAAAGGGCTGAGCACAGAGCAAATGCTCAGTCTATTCTAGATGTCTGTCCTCCCACCTTCCCTGACTCAAAACTTGGCCCTGTCTATAGTTTAGCTATAAGAGGACATGATCCTGAATTTGTGCTAAGGTGCTAACCTATAGCTTCAAGCAAAAAGAGTTAATGTCGAAGTGACCCATGGTATCTAAACTGGGATAAGGTTAAATAGTTGGGTATAGATAAGAAATCTGGACACCACTTCCAAAGAGCAGGTGTGCATGTGTGTTTTCTTACATCTCATGCAATTCATAAATGTCACGGATTTTAAATCAAAGAAAGCATGGATTGGGTTTTGGAGCCAAAGTGCACAGTTGACATTATGCCAATTCAATTTAGACCACATTTACTCAGTGCTCGCTCTGTGCCAGGTGCTATTCTAGGTGTTGGGAAGACAGAAGTAGGTGATCAAAGCTAGGTCCCTGCTCTTGAAGAGCTTCTACGCTCACTGGGATATGGGCGTATAAGTAACGTAGAGCAATGGGATAAAAGCCACAACAAAGATCTGTACAAGGGCAATAAAAACTCAGGAGACAGCAGTTTTGCTGGGGGGTAGTCAGAGAAAGTCAGAGACAGAAAGTGACATCAGAGCCAAATCTAGAAAGGAAATATCTAGAGAATGAGCAGAACTGAAGGATAGATGAACAAACCTCCTTTAAGAACTTTTTTGTTATTGTTTTAAGCTCTGACCTAAATCATCATTATGAGCTTCTAGAAGATACATGGCCACATGGTGTTGAATTTGATTTAAAATATTGCATAAACTATTATATATAGAAACACATATGGAAACAATCTGAAAATATTTCTCCTCAAATATAGTGCCATTTGCTTTTATGAATTTGCTATTTCTGGATGAAAAAGTGAAATATGATTTGATCTTCTGAGAATCAGAAGAAACTGTATCGCCCTCCCAAGTAAAAATCATTTTGGTGGTTAATTCATTCATTTATGTAGTCAGTCAGCAAACATTTAGTTAGAAATTTCAGTTTTTGAAGCACTGCCATTGAGGCCATTGAGGGGCAACAAAGATATATAAGATACTGTCCTGCCCTCAGGATTCCTCAGGGGTTTAGAAGTGAGAAAAACACCTGAATGCAAATAATTCTAACACAAGTAGGTGACAAGTAATACGAGTGAGTACAAATAAAATAATCCAAGTATCTTGAGGAGAACAAGCTATCTCTTGATTGGAATAGTCATAGAAAGCTTGAGAATTTACGGACAAGCAATTTGCGCTAGGGCTTTTATAATGAGAAGGCATTGGACATATAGAAACCAGGGCAGGGAAGATATTTCAGACAGAGGTAGATTTGTGAAGAAAAAGGCTGGGAGATCACTGAGAAATGGCACTTTTCCATGTTTACAAGTATGATTTGGGGAAAGAACTGGAATAGGTAGATGTCAGCCTCACAGTCAAGTATGAACTTGATTCCACTGGCTGTGACTTCTTAGAATTTGAAATGCCAAGCATCTGTCACTAGGTTTCTTGTACACTTGTTTTAGTTGGTATCTCAGGCCTGACCTTCAACTTGGCATAATTTCATCCAGCCGATAGGATATGTTTTAAAAAGTCAGTCTGTCACATATGGACCCGCAAATGTATGGCCAACTAATCTTCGACAAAGCAGAAAAGAGTAGCCAATGGAAAAAAGGCAGTAACTTCAGCAAATGGTTCTGGGGGAATTGGACAGCGATATGCAGAAGGATGCAACTGAACCACTTTCTTACACCATACACAAAAATAAACTCAACATGGGTGAAAGACCTAAATGCAAGATAGGAAACCATCAAAATCCTACAGGAGAAAACAGGCAGCAACCTCTTTGACCTTCGCTTCAGCAGTTTCTTACTAGACATAAGGGAAATAAAAGTAAAAATCAAATATTGGGACTTCATCATGGTAAAAAGCTTCTGCACAGCAAAGGAAACGATCAACAAAACTAAAAGGCAACCAACAAATGGGAGAAAATATTTGCAAATGACATATCACATAAAGGGTTAGTATCCAAAATCTATAAAGAGCTTATCAAACTTAACACCCCCAAAACAAATAATCCACTGAAGAAATGGGCAGAAGGCATGAATAGACACTTTTCCAGACAAGACATCCAGATGGCTAACAGACACATGAAAAGATGCTCAACATCATTCATCATCAGGGAAATACAAATCAAAACTACGATGAGATACCATCTCACACCTGTCAGATGGGAAATTAACAACATTGGAAACAGCAGATGTTGGAGAGGATGCGGAGAAAGGGGGACATTTTTGCACTGTTGGGAATGCAAACTGGTGCAGTCACTCTGGAAAACAGTATGGAGGTTCCTCAAAAAATTAAAAATAGAACTACCCTCTAACCTAGCAATTGCACTACTAGGTATTTATCCAAAGGATACAAAAATGCTGATCCAAAGGGACACATGCACCCCAATGTTTATAGCAGCACTATCAACAATAGGCAATAGTGCTATCAACAATAGCCAAAATAGCCAAATTTAGGGAAAGAGCCCAAATGTCCATTAACTGATGAATAGATACAGAATAAGAGAGATATATATATATATATATATATATATATATATATATGGAATACTAAGCAATCATAAAGAATCAAATCTTGCCATTTGCAACAACGTGGATGGAACTAGAGTACATTATGCTAAATGAAATAAGGCAGGCAGAGAAAGATAAATATCATGATTTCACTCATATGTGGAATTTAAGAAAAACCACAGATGAACATAGGGGAAGGTAAGGAAAAATAAGATAAAAACAGAGAGAGAGAGAGGCAAACCATAAGAGAGTCTTAAAATACAGAGAACAAACTGAGGGTTGCTAGAGGGCAGGTGGTTGGGGAATGGGCTAATTGGGTGATGGGCATTAAGGAGGGCCCCTGTTGGCATGAGCCCTGGGTGCTATATGTAAGTGATGAATCACTGGGTTCTACTCCTGAAACCAATACCACACTGTATTTTAAATAAGTTGAAGTTAAATTAATTAAAAAATCAGTCTGTGTCTGCCGATAGTAATATAATCACAACGTGGCTCCAAATTGCCATAAAGGCCAGGAATTGAAAGTAGATCTTATTCTTCAGGAACTTATGATTCCATGTCTGGAGTTTGAAAGAGAAGGGTTTCGTATTAGAGTCCCTTCAGGAAACAGATGAAGTCTTTTCCTCCACAAGTGTTGACAGGTGTAGTTACAACAACAAGGGATGGTGCAGTATCCATGAGCTAGTGAGAGTTGCGAAGCTGTTACCATCTGTAGGCTGATGGTAACATCCTTAGGACAGGGGACATAGCAAACATTGGAACTTGGAAAGAGCTCTGTGCTGCCATGGAGTCACATAGCTACTGCCCATGTTGTTCCTAATGGCTAGAGGGCAAGGGGCACATTGCTTCATTCTGTACAGCCCACCTCCCAGGGCACAGGGTAGGGAAGGAAGGATGTACAGCCCATCTGGAGGAGCAGACAGAGAGTATCCGGCACAATCCTTTTTAGCTTTAATATTTCCATGATTCCCAAACCATCCAAACTTCAGTAAACCTTCATTTAACAAATCTGTTCCAAAAACCAATGTTGTTCTCAGAAATTTATAAAGAATAAGAAGTACAGGGAATTGATTAGGTAGAGAGATGAATGGGTAGATGGTGAAGGAGTCTTTGGCTGAGATAGTTGACTGAGTAGTAACTCAACCAGATTGCAAGGTTGGTGAACACAGGGACAAGGCTGGTCTTGTACATTGTCAAATCCTCGATGCCCTACAATGTGCCTGGATCTTAGTATATCCCAATAAATGTCTGTATGACTGATGTGATAGATGAAACATCAAGAATACCAAGCAATGTAAAATGTGCATCTGGGAGTCTCAGGACAGGAGAATCCAAAATTAGGGTCAGGAACTAACACTTTGGAACTAGGAGAAGAAGGTGATGACTGTGTCTGGTTTTCTGCCTCTTTAGGTCAAAGCTTCTAGCACCACTCAGGGAACAAAGGTATTGGGAGATACAGAATGGCCTTTTTGCTTTGTTTAAACAATCTTTCCATCTTTTTCAGTCATTTGAAAGGACAACATTATAACTCCTGCAACCCAACTTCAATTAATTCATCTATTCATTCAGTGAACATTTACTAAGTGCTTATTTTGTGCCTGGGAATCCAAAATTAAGACAGATACAAACTCAGCCCTCAAGGAGCTTAGTCTGGTAGGAGCTACAGATGTGGCATTAGGAAAGTATAGTACTTGTGTTAGCTTGTGTTAGCTGTGGGGAGCACGGGCCACTGTGGGAGAAATAGGCGAACATCCTACACAGGCTGGAGGTCTCAGCCTAGGAAAGCTGAGTCCTGAAGCACTTTTCCATCTGTTTACTTTATCCCTGGCATTGCTCCCCACCCCCCCAACCCCCAGTAAGTAAGGAAGTAGTAAGTAAATAAATGACACTTAATAAAAATTCCTAGCTGAGGTAACAC